GGGCCTAGGTCCTGCATGGGCGACGTCAGCCGGCGCCCGGGGTTGCGCTCGAGCGTGGGTGGCGCTTTCAGGGCGCCTCGAGCACGTCCTTGCTTCTCTTTGTCGCATCCCACGTCCAGGCCTGGTGGCTGTCGTCAAAACGGACCCCACCCGTCCCGTCTGTGGTTACCGCTTCGCCGGCATCTGGCCTCCTGTGACCACCTCCTCCTGGCCGGGGCTGGGGGGGGGGCTTCTCCGCTTTTCCTGCCCCCCACACACCCTTCTCTCTGCCTGGCCCCGTGGGGTGCAGCCTCCACCCCCAGGCAAGGGCTGAGCTCGGGACACCCTCACCCAGGGCCCCGGAGGCTTCCCTGCCATGACCAGCCGGGGCCCAGCCACCTGGATGGCAGCCACTGGTTATTTCTGTTGCACTGGTTTGTCTTTCCTGGAGCTGCTTTTGTCACCAGCAGTTAGCCGGTCGGTCGTTTTGTGAAGCCCTGGAGTCCTGGGAACGGGTATGGGGTGGTGGGGCAGAGTCTGGGATCTTGGCATGTGCTTTCCAGGGTGGATTTTCCCGTGGCAGAGACCACTGGTTTCCTGTTTATCTCCTTGCTGAGTGGTCAGTGGAGTGGCCAGAGGACATGGAGGGGCTCTTGGGCCTACCTGGAAAGCTAGCGCTGCCCTGTGCCCCGCAGCACACACGGTGCTGCAGGCCAGTTCAGTAGCTTCCAGATGGGCATCAGGTGGGCAGGGACCAGGGTCACAGGGTGGGCTTGCGTTCTGCCTGAGTCCCTCGGGAGGCTCTGATGTGATGTGCCCTCTGCTGTTGTTCTTGATCCGTGCTCTTGAAGCAGTATCAGGCCTTGACTGCAAGGTGTGTGACTGCTGGTCCTTCCCTCTGTCTCCTGGGGGGGGGGTGCTTCTGTCCTTCCACTGAGCCCCAAGCCCCTCCCCTTCCACTGCACACCCCCAGCATCCCCTGATGCCCTGCAGAGGACTCTGAAGAGGCTGTTGGGGCTCATTGGGCTTTGTCAAGCCTGCACCTGTCCTGGCCCTGCTCCCAGCTGTGCCTGGTTGCTGCTGGCCACCCTCTTTACCCTGGAAGAGGGGAAGGCCGGGGCAGCTTCTGCTGAGTTTTAAGTTTCCTCTTTAGCTAGCCCTCGTTTAGAAATCAGGAAAAGACAACTCCAGACCCTAACTGGAGTCACATCTAATTAGGGCTTGGAGGTGGGAAGGGGCTCAGAGCTAGGATGGCGGCTGGTCTCCTGGGGCTACCCTATCCTGGGAGCCATTTTTCCCCCTGGACAGGATGAGCTGTCCCTTGTGTGCTGCCCAGGTCTGTCATCCTCCAGCCACCGTGGGCAGGGCGATCATACAGAGCATTGGTAGGGCTGGGTTTCTCTAGCATTCTTGTCACCAGTTACCTGTGATCCTGCCCTGCACCTGTAGGTGCTATACCTGCTGAGTGGGAGCTAAAGTTGCGGGGCAGCAAGGAGCCTCTGATCCTGCTGAAAAGCCATGTGATAGCCTATTGTCTCCATCACATCTGGCTGAAGGAGACGGGGGCTGGGCAGGGAATCACACCCAGCACAAGTGTCTGGTCCCCTTCTGGAGCTGTAGGTGGCAGTGTGGCTGCCCATGGGGATGCAGCTGGTGACATGTTAGAGCACAGTGTAAGAAACACTATGGGCATAGCGGATCTTAGAGGGTATAACATGGCCTGCAAACCCAGAGAGGAGGCAGAGCTGTGGCTTGGGGACTGGAGACCGTTGGCAGGTACCCCGAGGAAGTGTGCATTTCCTTCTGGGCTGCGCACACCTGAGTGGGAGCCGGGAGTCCGAAGGGGAATGGACAGGCCTCAGCCACAGCTGCTTCTGTTTGGGCAGGGTTGGGACACTTCATTAGGATCCAGATCTGCCCACCCCCAACAGAAGCCAGGCTGGGGGAACTGAGGAACCATGAAAAATACCCACTCCTCAGAGACGGCTCCTCACCAGCTGACCCAGGCTGCAGTGCCCCACCAGTGTAGGGGCAGGATGAGGGCCGGGGAGTCTCCATGGGAGCCTCATCCTTTTCTTTCTCTTCCCAGTCCAGGATGACAGGGACCCGCAACTGGAGAGCCATGCAGGATATGTGCCGATACCGGCACCACTACCCGGTAGGTGCCCATGGCCCTCTGCTGCCTCCACAGCACCCTGAGACACAAAAGCCCTCCCATCAGCTCCCTTTCAGAATGTCTGGTGTCCCACCAGTATGCGTCTTGGGTGGGATGTGTCCCTTGTCCAGAGCACAGGTCTGCTGTGGATTCAGATCCCTGCCCTTCCCTTAATGGCAGGGTGATCAGAGCGTGTTCCTCTGCCTCTTGAGCCCCTGCTCTCCAGCCTCCTGACACAGGGGTGCAGGTCCGGCAGGATGCTTCCCAACTGGGCTTCCCCATGTGATGTAGGACCATCTGGGTGGAGGGTCATCCTCAGCCCATATTCTCTGTACCCAGGAATCTCAGGTAACCCTTGAGGTGCAGAGGAAGGAGAGCCCCCGGCCCTGGCCAGCCTTGATGGGGAGGTAAAGATGGCGCTGTGCTCTGTGCCTGTCCTCACCTGCAGAGTGAGGAGCCCAGGCTGGGCTCTGGGGTCTTGGGTCAGCCTTGGGAGACCCAGAGGTTTGCAGACACCTGCTCCCTGGAATTCGGAGTCTGAGAGGTCGTTAGAGACAGCCTCTTTCTGACACATCCCTAGCCATCCCCTTTCTCTGGCTCTTCAGGATTTGGTAGAACGAGACTCCAATGGTGACATGCCCAACTTGAGTTTCTACAGAAATGAGATCCGCTTCCTGCCTAATGGTAAATATGGAAAAAGCACACTGAGCTGTGGGCAGTAATTTGGGACCTGGATGGGCTGCGCCCTGGTCTGGCCCCAGCTTCAGCAGCCTTGCAGTGCCCTCTGGAGGCAGCCAGGGTTGGAAAACTGAAGGGCCAGAGAGTAAAGTTGACTTTTCTGCTAACATCACCTCTCAAAACTGCCTGACTTTGCTGCTGACTCAGAAAAGCAGTGCATGCAAACCAATAAGCTACAAATGGTTTTCACACTTGTATGTGTATTTTCTGAAGTAAAAGTTACACGAAATTAAAATTTTGGTGCCAGGAAGAGTTTATCGCCACCTGCCCACACCTGTTCACCCCCTTTTCATGACAACACGAAACACAGACTGACTACGGCAGGGACCGTGTGGCCCACACAGCCTAGGCCGGCCTGTGTTCCCGGTTGTGTTTACTGGGCATTGTTTGCAGAGAGTTCCACGGTGAACAGGCCATGTGCTGGGTTAGGCCATGAGGTCACCCTTTTACAGAAATGAGTGAGTCCGGGGCCCCCACCCGCTTGGCCAAGTCAGCAGCAAGGGTTCGGTTTTCAAATTGCAGAGGGGCCAGAGGCCTGGGCACCCAAAATTGTTGTAACAAATGAAGCACAGAAAACCCTGCTGAGCCCCAACAAACTTGTAGGGTGAAATTGGGGGTGAGGGGACTGTTGGCCACACTGTTCCCCAAGCCCCATCACGGTGGCCTTCATCTGCTGTCCCCATTGGCTCACAGGCTGTTTCGTGGAGGACATTCTTCAGAACTGGAAGGACAACTATGAGCTCCTGGAGGACAATCACTCCTACATCCAGTGGTGAGTGGGCCGGTGTGTGGCGAGACCTCTGGGAGGGCCGGGCCCTGGCTGCTGCCACCCCCCGACCCCGCTGCTCCCTGGTGTGCACCGAGCACTTCGTCCCCTCCAGAAGCCGGATCCGCGCTGCAGCTGATGATGCCTGCACACCTGTGAGTGGGCATCTTTGGGCACGGCAGGGTCCACTGGCTGCTAAGGAAAGACTCAGGCCTGGCCCAGAGCTGTCAGCTGTCATCGCGGCAGCCATGCCCTTAAGTTCTTGAGGCGGATGGGGCAGGCCTGCCTATCAGGTCCCATGGCCTCAGAGCCAGTCCTCAGAGCCCCTGGGGACAGGGCGGGCAGCGTTGTACCTCACCTGTGCTTGCATGAGATACCACACCAGCAACACAGGCAAACTCTGTCATAGGGTGCATCGTGGGGCTGTGTGCACCCATGACCAGAGAGAAGAGGGGTGAGAGGCACAGCCCAGAACAGGCGGCAGGCGGGCCAACATGGTGACCGAGTGACCCTGCCACACAGCCTGCTGAGCGCGCTGGCTGGGTGCCAGTCAGCCGTGCTCCCCTGTCCTGGCTGCCCACTCCCACCCTCGCCCCTCTGCCCTAGAGAAGGCAGGGAGCTGTACTGGGCCACCTGCCCCTAAAGGGCCTGCACCATCTGTGTCTGCACAGGCTGTTTCCTCTGCGGGAACCGGGAGTGAACTGGCATGCCAAGCCGCTCACACTCAGGGAGGTTGAGGTGAGTCCCTGGCTTGGTCCGGGAGGGACTGGGGAAGCGGCCCTCCCTTGGGTCCCCTCTGACCCTGACCGTGGACTGCCAGGATGGGGACGGCACAGGAGCCTGAGAGGTGGTGCTCTCCCCTCCACAGTGGCCCTGCCAGCACATAGAAATCTACCTGAGGGAAGCTGCCACCTATAGGGAGCTGGGGACGGCCCAAGAGATCAGTGGTGGGAACAAGGAACAGAGGGGCTTGGGCAGTGAACAGTGCCTTGTGGCAGGTAGAGGAGGTTCACGGAAAAGGCAGCCTTGTTGTGACTTGGGAAATTCGACTCTGGTACTACAGTTCGGAGGAAAGCAAGACTTGTTCACTTGTCCCTTGCCCAAGAGAATGAGTCAGGCACTGAGAGAGGCAGCTGCTGGCCCAGGGTCTGTGTGGCTCCACTGACGCTCCTCAGGGACAATGGCCCAGGGACAGCTGCCTGAGCTAGGGGTATTTCTCAGGCCTTCAAAAGCTCCACGGAGGTCCAGGAACGGCTCATCCGGGCCTACGAGCTCATGCTTGGCTTCTATGGCATCCAGCTGGAGGACCGAGACACGGGCGCTGTGTGCCGGGCACAAAACTACCACAAGCGCTTCCAGAACCTGAACTGGTGAGGACAGGTCTCCTGTGTGGCCCCTCCATGCCCGCAGGTGGTCTGGGTTGTGTGTTCTTACCATGGAGGGTCACTGGGAAAGCAGGGACAGTGCACACTGCCCAGACACCCCGGCCCTGCCCCGCCCCAGCTGGGCATCCTCTGACCTCCAGGGCACACAGCCCTTTCTGGTTCTGGGTGAGTCCTATGTCCCAGGCAGCTCTGGGCTGTGGTGGGCTGTGGCTGCATCGCACCCCGAATGCCCTCCCACAGGCGCAGCCACAATAACCTGCGCATCACCCGCATCCTCAAGTCGCTGGGCGAGCTGGGCCTGGAGCACTACCAGGCTCCGCTGGCGCGCTTCTTCCTCGAGGAGACACTGGTGCACCACGAGCTACCGGGCGTGCGCCAGAGTGCCCTGGACTACTTCCTGTTTGCGGTGCGCAGCCGGCGCCAGCGCCGTGAGCTCGTGCATTTCGCCTGGCTGCACTTCCAGCCCCGCTGCAAGTTCCTCTGGGGTCCCCGAGACAAGCTGCTGAAGTTCAAACCCCAGGCTACGGTCCAGGCTCTGGCCAGCCCCAGGCAGGTGAAGCGAGACAGGGTCCTGGAGGACACCCCGCAGGAGGCCAGCGCCCAGGGTCAGACCTGCGGGCCGGAGAAGGACCAGGGAGGGGACGGTGTATTGGCCGAGGGTCCCCAGCCGCTGGGTGAAAAGCTCCAGGACGCAGGAAACCTGGAGGGAGACCAGGAGGATCAGGCCGAACCCCCAAGCCCCAAAGAGAGCAAGAAGAGGAAGTTGGAGGCCAACAGGCGGGAGCAGGCCCCAGGGGAGCTGGGGTCCCAGGGCGTGTCTGAGGTGGAGAAGATAGCTCTGAACCTGGAAGGCTGTGCCCTCAGTCAAGGCAGTCGTGACCTAGGGGAGGCCGAGCAGCCGTGTCCCAAGTCCCCAGCAGCCAGGGCGGCCGATGAGGTGAGGAAGCGGAGGAAGGTGGAAGAGGATGCAGGGCGTGAGGAAGTGGAGACCCGTGGCGGCAGCCCGATGCCGGCTTCTGCCCCAGGGGAGTGCCCCAAGGCCCAGGATTGTGGGGATGGGGGAGAGGGGGACCCAGGAAGCCAGGCCAGAGCGGAGCAGGCTGCTCCAAGGAGTCCATCAGACGGGCCTGGTCCTGCCACCACAGGAACCTCAGAAGCTGAGACAGGAGGAGGTGGCCAGGACGGGGCCTTCTGTCACACCTGGAAAGCCTTAAGGGACAGGAGCCAGCAGCATCTTGGCCCTGCCCAGCCCCGGTGCTGAGGGGGATCTGGGGCCCGGCACCCTGTTGCTGGCTCTTCACGGTGCCCAGCAGTGCTGGCCTCTCCCTGGTGATCACATTCAGTGGCCACCGGAAGGACCGAGTCCCTGCCCTCAGGGAAGGCCAAGGCCTTCAGAACCCTTCTTACCTCACTGCATCCCCACCCAGCTCTCTCGGAGCCCCACATTTGTAAATATGAAGGGGGAGGTCTCGGCGGGAGAGGGTTTGTTTTCTTAGTCTGGTGCCAAGCGAGGCCTTTTCTGAATAAACTCACTTGACTTTGGGGCCTTTGGGTGTGGACTGAGGCTCTTTTCGGTGCTCTGTGGGGCTGGTTGTATAACGTGTTCTCTGGGCTTTCTTCCCCGGGTCCTAGGTGGCCCCAGCATGCTTGAGTCTGGTCCTCAAGGTCCCCTGGAGCCGGAGGGCCAAACAGTTGGCCCCTGGCTGCCTTTTGTCACCTGCTTAAGAGTTGGTGAGGACTGCAGGGTTCTCAGGTGGCTGGGGAGCAGTGTCTGGGGGCTGCAGATCTAGCCTGGGCCTTCGCAGCTGCCCTCACAAGCGCAGTAAGCAGTAATCTCTAGCCCTCCCTGCACTGTCTCTCTGTGGCCCAGCACTGCCCCTCTCCAGGACGTCCCCTTGTCCCCAGCACTTGCAGGTTGCTGTGTGAGGAGCTGTTCTGGGGCCTCTGAGGGCACCGCTGACTCGCAGCTCCCCAAGGGACCACAGACAGACTTGCCATGGGCAGAACACTGGACGTGGGGCACAGACCTGGGGTCCATCGCAAGGCGGGAAGCGTCACTGTTCTGAGTCAGGGCTCTGCTCGGGAGGAAGCTGTCACTGTCTACTGGAGCACTGGGCTTTTGCTGCTGGCTGCGCTCCCACTCTTCAACTTGAGTTTTGAAATGGATTTTTACTGTACAGGGGAAACAGGCACAGCGTGATGCAGTGTCAGTTTGGTGGTGTCCCTCTGATCACTGGTGCTCGGGGTCTTGCGTTGGGTAGGGAATCCCACTCCTGCTTGGGGAGGCGGGGCCTGCCTCAACTTGAAGGAGAGCAGTGTCCCCAAGTGGGAGGACAGTGCCTTGGTTCTGCCAGCTCAAGGTGATACTGGAGAGGCTGGGCTCTTAACGGTGGGTGAGGCCAGCACCCTCCCTGTCCTCGGCCAGCCCAGCCAGTGGCCTTGTGACAAGGTGAAGGCCAGTCCAGCAGAGGCCCAGTGGGCCCAGATGCCAGCCGCTTCCCTGGCCTGCGATGAGGGCACCTGTGCCTCGGTGCCCTGACCAGCTGCCTCTGGGCACGTGAGTGGCTGCGCTGTGGCCTGGGCCAGGAGCAGGCATGAGGGGTGGCTACAGCCTTGCTTTCTCCGGAACTTGTTCCTGGGCCAGGGATTGGGGGCTGCCCAGAGCCCCTCATCCCTGCCCCTACGGTCTGAGCAAGGACTGCACGCTGTCCCCTGCCCCGCTGATGTAACCTGCAGGACCCCGGGCAGTGAATGGCCGGCTGCCTTCTTCCATGGTGGAGGAGTCATCAGTTCCTGCTCCTGGGCAGAGGAGTGACGCGCTCCACCCCTTCCTGTTACTTCCACCATCTCCAAAGTTGGTTCAGCCTTCAGAGTTGAGGCCCCAACCCAAGGGCGCCAAGCTGGAGGTAGCATTTTCTGGCAATGCCGAGGATTCCTGGAGGCAGCCTGTACCCTGCCAGTGTGGTGAACTCCATCAATGACTTGGTCCTTGGGCAGTACCTGTGCGCCAAAGGCTGGTTGCAACTCAAGTTGGTGGTAAGTCGATACAGCTGATATTTCGATTACCTGGGTACATGCTATTGGTAACATGAAGCAGACGAACCTTCCATTAACCTAATTAACCCAAGTTGTTTGTATGTGAGGCCGGACTTAACTTGAGGGGCTGCTGTACTTGGCAGAAGGCACCCAGCATCTCCAGGTGCTCACACTTTCAGGACCATCTCCCAGGCAGGAGAGGAAACCTTTATTGTAGCCTTTCTCTCTTTTTTATAGGAAAATATAACCCCCCACACACAAACTTTAATTAACTACCAGAAAGGTACAAAATTGAAAAGTTCTTCTCCAGCTATGATCAAAACACTTAGAATGTCCAAGGTACTGTGGGTCCCTGGGTTACATATTCAGACCTTTACAGAAGCAGGTGAACCTCAGGCTCCTCAGAAGAGAGGACTGGATTAAGACAGCTACAGAAACTGATCGTCGCTCTGTGAGGGAGCAAGCCAAGCTTCCTCAACTGCCAAGAGCACCACCTCGGTGGTCATAAACCCTGCAGAGACCCAGCAAGACTTGAGTCTCAAATGCAGAGTAAGTTTCCAGGTGAGCAGTCAGCAGCGCACAAGTGGACACGGATGGGACAGAGCGCTGATGAGAGCAGTGCACCGGAGCCCAGGGAACTTCCAGGGCCACCTTGGTGCTGGCAGCACGGCCGCCTCCGGACCTCTGCTGTTTCCACACCAGGGTGTTTATGCAACTGCAGGGAAGTGGGCAGTGGTGTCCTCCTGGGTGCTGAGTGTACCTCAGAGCACAGCAGAGCAAGTTCCTTGGTGAAGACTCCTCTAGGGAATGGCTCCCTCTCCAGGATGGTTAGGGGTCACACACTCCTTCCTGCCACCTGGGCGCGAGCCCTTTCGCTGCTGTCCCTGGAGAGAGAACCACCCTGAGACTCCCATGAAGTTTCTGCCAGTGCCAGCTGGACGGGGACTGCCCACTTCGGTCCCTCATCGGGACCAGGTACAAACACCCCGAGCTGTCACAGGCGTGCGCTTCCTCTCCTGCCTGGCACGCCAGAGGAGGCCAGGCCCCGACTGGTCCTCAGTGGCGGCGAGGTGGCCCTCTGCGGCATCACTGCCCCACCCGGGGCAAGAAGGCTGATGCCCGCTCGGGCGTTCAGCTCACCTTCCTCTTGGCAAGCCGGCGCCAGCTTCGCGCTCTGCCCGGCTCTGCGGTGCACACGGGGAAAGTCCGGTGGGTGGGAGAAGAGTCTCCCAGAAAGTGGGGACGCATGCGGCCCTCGGTGGTGTTGGCCTGGCGGCCACGGTGACCAGGACAGCAGCAACCAAGCCAGCACCACGCCCCCTCCATAAAAGGCGCCCTTCAGGAGGGCTGTTCCCAGCCACACCGCGGCTGAAAAGCAAGGGAGAAAGAAGCCCTTCTTGTGCTATGAAAGGCGTGTGTGTGCAACACACCAGTCCCATGGTAATTTTAACTCGCTGGCGGGCCAGAGAGCGCCGCCTGCCTTCTTTCTTCCCGGAGGCACAGCCCCCAACCCCCGCCCCCAGGTAGGCCGGGCAGAATGGGGGGCTTGTAGAGCGCGGGGCGGGGCGGCGGATGCCCAGCCTGAGCTCTGCGCCACCCACCGACCTCCGCCTCCTGCCCCGCCGCCCTCCCGGCACAGCTCA